AGTGCCAGGGCCCGACTCTGCTCCAGGGCCCCGTGAGGGTCAGCTGATCAGACTCCACGCTCCCTGCCCACGTACCATCCCCGGTCCCTCGGTCCCCCCACACGATGTGATTTTTATCGCCTTTTGAAACTGCCTTCGTGCTGTGTTTGCTTGCTCATTTGTGTCCCTTTCGTCCACTGGAACAGGAGTGCCACAGGGCTGCCGTCTGGTCCTCTACTGTGTACCCAGCACCCACAGCACTGCCTGGTGCATAGCTGGTGCTCACTAAATATTTGTGGACTAAACAATTGTGTGTGCGGCACTGAGTGGGTGCAGGAATGAATGATTGTGTGATGCCTGCCTTTCCTGCTCTCCCCTGCCCCGCCCCACCCCCCACTGCCCTGGAGCCAGGCCTGGGCCCCCCTCCCCCATGTGACCCCGGCTGAGCTGGGGCCTCCTGGGAGGATGGAGCCTGCAGCCGTCTTGGCTGCTTGCCCTGTATTGATCAAAGCTAGGAGGCTGCTGGCTGAGGTCTGTCCCGGCCGGGGGGTGGGGCAGTGGAGAGGGATCCTGGCCGATTTGTCCAGGACTTGCCTGGGGCAGAGAAGGGCTGGGAACGATCCATCTGCTTGGGGGGCTGATGACACCTCTTGTGCACACCTCTCAAGGGAGGACAAACTGGCCCCAGGAGGATGGCCTGGCAGGAGGGCGCAGGGGACAGAGGCGGGTCCCTCCCCAGGGGCGGGGGGTGGATGCCATTCAGGCCGCTGTGTAGGACCCAGGGGTGGGGATCTCAGCGAGCTGGGGCTCTGGCCAGCATCACCCCTTCACAGCTGGTCATGATCCTGGGGCACAGGAAAGGGAGTATGAGCAGAGGCGCCGCAGAAGGAGCCCAAGGAGCCAAGAGTCCTGATCTGGGAATGGAAAACGGGGATCGTCCCTGGGTGGCCAGACAGAGCCTCTGCTGGGGCTGGGTGGACTGCGAGCACACAGGTCCTGAGGCCAGCTCAGGTGGAGATGACGGGGTGACCTCAGCGTCCACAGCCCAGGGCACCTACATGCGTGTCTATATACACACACGCACACACACACACACACCTCAGTCATCTGAACTGGGCCTGTATATCAGTACACATCTGGGAAACTGGACAGTGGAGGAGATTAACCATCAGAGATCTCCTGGAGGACTTCATGCAGGAGGTGGTCCTTAAAGTTGGGTGAGTTTTACAGAGTAGGAGATACTGGAAAGAGGCAGAGAACCAAGTATGGAACCAGGAACCATTTGCTGCTGCCTGGGCAAAGGCAACGGCCCCTTCCTGGTTTCCAGGCTCCAGACCCCTCCCCCCTCCACCCATATACTGCACCTCTGTCCCACGCTTACCAGGGTGAGGACTCTGGTCTGAAACAGGACGATCAAGGCACCCTTGTCCCCTGCCCGCCAGGGGCTCCCCACTGCCCTCCACGTGCTGTCCTGTCATCGGAGACCTTGAACGCTAGAGGTTGCTCCAGGCCTGCCCTGTGCACCATTCCCATTTTACAGAGTTGGAAACTGGGGCTCAGAGAAGATACCGCGCAGCGAGTCAGGGACCACACTGGAGCTAAAACGGTGGCTTTCCAAGTCCCAGGCTGGACTCTTGCCCCGACAGCATGCCTCCGCCACCCCCGCCCACCTAGCTAGCGCTGAAGGAGCTGAAGGCAGCCTGGCTACAGTCGGGTTAGCTCTCTTCATTGTACAGACAGGCAAACTGAGGCTGGGAAGGTGGGCCTCCTCGGGATCTGTTAGCTTGCACAATTGTTCTTCCTTAACTCTCTCAGCGGTGGGAAACAGACTGGGCAGAAGCTACAGTGCCCATCTGACAGATGAGGAAGCTGAGACCCAAAGACCAGGGTCCCAGAACGGATTCATTCTTCATATGCACACTGTGCATCCTTGCGGCAGACTCCGCAGGGTCAAGGCCATGGCTGGCCTGGGCTTTCAAAGTTCACGCTCTGCTTGCCGGTTCAGACAAACGACAGCCACAGTGCCCAGCACTGAACTCCAGCACAGGAAACCCAGGGGCTGGGGAGCCATGGCAAGACTTTAGGAAGGGGGCTGGCTATTCCAGGGGAGTGGAGTGGGGGCTGGGGAGGGGAGCGAGTTCCAGGCAGGGCCCTGGCCAGCCTCACGCTTCCCGCCTGCCAACCCAAGCGCCTTCCTGGAGGATTTAAGACTATGTCGAGCAGTTGTTTTAAATTTCCGGGCAGGGGGCTGCAAGGGGGGCAGGGGGTGCTGCAGGCCGTCTGGGGTGTGGGCTGCTATTTACCAGGGCCCTTTGCGGGATGCGGCTCTCCAGGCTGGGGGCTCCCACAATTGCTTCCAGCTGGGCTGGCAGCCAGTGGGGAGGAGCTGGGGCGAGGTGAGGGGGTGCCAAGAAGAGACCACAAGGGCACGAGGGGTCCCTTGTAACCCAGGGTCCCCGGTGCCTCCCTGGGTGGCTGCTCTCGCTGGTCCATCAGGCCTGGGGGGCCTCCTAGGACGTAAATGTATCTATAAAGCGGGATGCATCCGGCCTGGACGGTGCTGAGCTTTCTGGCCTTTATGCACTTAATCTTTCATTTCCTCTCCCTGCTTCATCTCCCTGCTCACTTCCCCTCTTTCCCCGGGAGGAATATTGCTGGGCTCCACCGTGCAGCCCCGCCCTGCCCCCACCGCGAGTCCAGGCCGCGTGTGGCTCCTTTGTGGGAAGCAACCTGTCCAGCGTCTGTGGTCTCTGCGCCCCCTCCCCCCCAATCGCCTGGACCACAACAGAAGTGAATAAACACTGCTGGCCACAGACTCCTCCCGTGGCTCCTCTGCCCCCACACGACAGCTCCTTAGCCAGGAGCCAAGACCCGGGGGTCTCCTCGCTCGCTCTCCTCTGCTCAGGCTCACCCCAGCCGCAGCCAAACTGAAGCCCAGCCTGGTGGCACTGTGCATCCTCCCTTGCTCAGCTGTCTTCCCCTCCCCACCACCCCAGCGTTACCACAGCCCATCGGTGCTGGGTGAAGACACCCATGGTCCCCATTCCATCTCGTTCCACGAGACATCAGTTGGCAGACTCCTCGCTCCCAAGGCTGGTCAGCGCCACCCCCTGTGTGCCTGTAGCCTGATTCTCTATAAAAGTAAGGGCTTGTCTCTCTGCTCTTGTTTGTCTCCCAAGCTGGTGTTAGAGGAAGGCGGTCAAAGCCCTGTAGATTCTCCGGGAGTGCAGGAGAGGGAGACTGGCTCCTGTCCATCATTTCAGGGTCCCTACTCTAGCGGAAACAGCCTCTGACCTCAGGAGTGATTTTGTGCTTCTCTCTGTTGGACCCCAAGAGCTAGATGCTGGGCACGCGGCTTGTCTCTGGCACCCTGGCAACTGGCTAGGGCCTGGCTCAGGACATCTCTCATGCAACTGACCTTCCGGTTCTTCCCCGTAGTTCACAAGAGCAAGGCAAAGTCCAGAGAGGAAAAGGCACTCACTCAGGGCCACATAGCAAGAAGGGACAGGGCTAGGACTGCTTCTTGTAAAACAGACTGAGAAGTCCGTTAATGAAGCGAGTGTGTGGCTGGGAGCCAGCAGGAGGGGGTTCAGCCCCAATTTAGCCCTGACCCAACCCCAGACAAAGTATGTGACTGGGACCCCTGCTCTTGCCACAGTCCCCCATCTGGTTTCCTTCCTGCTAATTCTGATCTTGGGGTGGGGAGCCTGGTCTGAAAGTAGGCTCTGCTCCTTTAAGGCCCCTCCCTCCCTCTTGTCTGCAGAGCCTCCCCAGAGAGCTGGGCCAGGACTAGGGGGAAGGTGGCAGGTCCCAGCTGCAGAGAGTGACAAAGAATGTCAGATGTCCCTTTTGTTCTGGGGGTGGGGTGGGGGTGGGAGCCCCAGCCCAGGAAGGGAAGAGCAGCGCCCAGGGTCTGCAGCTCTGCATTGCCAGGATACAGGAGGGCGGGAGGAGTCTAGAGAGGTGGCCTGGGCGTGCTGTGGCCTCAGAGGCAGTGGTTGGGGTGGGGGAGAGTCACTTGCCTAGGAGTGGGCGCTGACTCACACTCACTGCCCCTCGGGTTTCTCCCCACTTTCACCCACCCTCTGTGCCATCCTCTCCCAGGCCTCAGAAAAGCCCGTGGGGATGGCCCCATCCCCCCACTTTACAGGGACAGGAGTGACATGCAGAGAGGGGAGTGGCTGGACTCTCACCACCCAGCCAGGGGACAGCAGAAAGGAATCTGTCATCAAGTCTAGCTCCCAGCTCCTAGCCCAAGCACTGTCACCGCACCCTGGGGGGAAAGGTCAGAGGGCAAAGGGACAGAGGCAGCCTGGGAAGGTGCGGTGACTTGCCTAAGTTCACTTGCAGGTTCGGGACAGGGTCTGGCCAGCCCAGTGGCATCAGTCTCCCAATGACAGAGCCACCTCTAGGACTTCCGGCCTCAGCGAGAGGCAAAGTCTTCTCCAGGGCCAGTGGAAGCTTCTGGATCCACCTGGGAGCTCTAGAGAGAAGGCAGGAAAGCTGGCTCCCCATGCTTGCGTGGCTTCCTGCAGAGCAGCTGTCTCCTGTGTAAATGGGCTCTGCTTGTGAGCCACAGAGGCCCAGGCAGGCGCACTGGCCAGGTGCTCAGTGATGGTTAGTTCCGTCCCTCCCTCCTCTTCTTGCCTCTCTGGCCTGGGGGTTGGGCTGGCTGGCTTCACGGCTAACAGGAAGTAGCCTAGCTGGGCTGGGAGGCAGGTAGGAGAGGGGCTCAGGGACCAGCTGGAGGAAAAGGCACAGGGCAGGGCTTTGTCTTTTAAGACCCCTGTTCAGAGGCAAGACTCCACTTCCGGGGGACTCTGCACCTGGGAGAGACCACTTCCCGCCTCCGACCATCTGTCGTGGAAGGAGGGCCCCCTCTTGTCTCATACTGCCCAGGTGAGGAGGCTGGACCAGGGCCTGGGAGGCCTTGGCCACGCACTGGCAGAGCCGTCTCAGGGCAGGGCAGCCCGCTGGCCACAGGGACAAGCAGGTGGAGGTGGAAGAACTCATCTCAAAGCTGGTGAGCACCCTCCTCTCACTCGAGCTCTGTGTTTATTTGGAATACCTGGTGGACCCAAGGCTGGACAGAGGCCCTCACCTCGGGGTCTCCTTGGACCCTGGCCCCCTGGCTGCTCCACCTCCACCAAAGTGCTGCTCGCTCTCCATTAAGCAGAACGTGGAGACTCTTCTAATGAGGGAATCCCTTTGGTGGCTCCTCCAGTCAGCGGGCTTGATCGCTGGGGCTCTCCCAGAAGATGCTCAGGTCCTTTAAAACTAAATAAATAAATAAAGTGAAGACCAGATTTAAAGTCTTGCCTGAACGCTCCCAGCCCAGCCTTCCCCCTCCCCGTGGAGCTCCTGCAGCTCCCACTGGCTGCGCCCCTCCCGACCCTAAGGCTAGCAGGAGAGTGGGAAGAGCCAGGCCTTGGAGCAGCTTTTGTGCCCGTGCTGCTGTGCTGCCCAGTTCTGCTGTTGCTGCCCCTCCGAACAGCCTTCCCAGGCATGCACAGGACCCCCATTCCTACAGGGCCCTGCGCAGGAGAAAATTGGACTGCAAGAGGGCAGGGACTTGCCAAGGCCACGTGGAGGCAGGGCTGGGTCTTGTCTTCTGCCCCTGCCTGGAATCTGGGGTGCAAGTGCAGGGTCAGGCTGAGGTGAGCGGGCATCAGCGGGAAGGGGGCCTCATGGACCATCTGGGATGCCCCCTTCTCATCTCGAGGGAGACTGAGGCTCAGAGAGGGCAGTGAGCTTATCCGGGTTCCACAGTGAGTTCTTCTAAATGCCAGGTAAGCCTGCAGGGGCAGGGCGAGCACAGAGCTCTCACTGATGGGGACGGCAGCAGGGCAGGGCACTCAAAGCTCTGAGAAGGGAGGTCTGAAAGCCACACATTCCAGAGTGACCATAACGCAGCCTGGGGCCATTTCAGGAGGCTTCCTGGAGGAAGTGATTTTTGAAGAGTTGAAGGGTAGCAGGAGATAGGCAGAGAGGAACCAGTGGGGGAGGGGGCTCTAGCAGGAGAGTTTTCCCTGCAGGAGGCGGGGTGGTGGGGCTAAAGTCAGGAGCTCCGTATGGGGACCCACCTGCTGCCTCCCAGGGTGTGCATTAGCAGGAAGCTGGAAGGGGCTGGCACGGTGGTGTAGTGGGTAAAGCCAAGGCCTGCAGTGCTGGGGCATCCCATATGGGTGCTGATTTGAGACCTGGCTGCTCCACTTCTGATCTAGCTCTCTGCTATGGCCTGGGAAAGTAGTGGAGGATGGCCCAAGTCCTTGGGCCCCTGCACCTCCATGGGAGACCCGGAAAAGCTCCTGGCTCCTGGTTCCTGGCTCCTGGCTTTGGACTGGAGCAGCTTCAGCCATTGCGGCCAATTGGGGAGTGAACCAGCGGATGGAAGACTTTCTCTCTCTCTCTCTCTTTCTCTCTCTGACTTTCAAATAAATAATAAATAAATCTTAAAAAAAAAAAAACAACTGGAATTAGGAGTCAGGAACAGAGCCAAGCCTCTAACCCAGGCACCGTGATGTGGGATGCAGGTGCCCTAACTGGAAGCTTAACTGTAGACCAAATCCTCCCACATGCACTGCTTAGCTTTATTTACTTGTTTATTTGAAAGGCAGAGAGAAAAGAGAGAGAGAGAATATGAATATCTCCAATCTGCTGATTTTCTCTCTAGATGCCCACAACAGCTGGCTGTCCAAAGCCAGGAGCTGGGAATTCAATCCGCCGTTTGGTGGCAGGAACCCAACTACTTGAGCCATTACTTGCTGCCTCCTAGGGTGTACATTAGCAGGATCAGAAGTGGAGCTAGGGGGCAGTGCTGTGGTGCAGCAGGTTAAGCCGCCGCTTGGGGGCGCTAGCACCCATATGGGAGAGCTAGTTCAAGTCCTGGCTGCTCTGCTTCCCTTCCCGCTTCCAACTAATGCACCTCGAAATGCAGCAGATGACGGTTCAAGTACTTGGGCCTCTGACACACAAGTGGCAGTTCCTGGCTCCTGGCTTCAGCCTGGCCCAGCCTGGCCCAGCCTGGCTGTTGTTGCCATTTAGGGAGTGAACCAGTAGATGGAAGCTCTCTCTCTCTCATTCTGCCTTTCAAATAAATAATTCTTTGAAAAAAATAACATAAAAGTGGGGTGCCGGCACTGTGGTGTAGTGGGTAAAGCCACTGCCTGCAGTGCCGGCATCCCATATGGGTGCCAGTTCACGTCCTGGCTGCTCCACTTCCCATCCATCTCTCTGCTATAGCCTGGGAAGGCAGTAGAAGATGGCCCAGGTCCTTGGGCCCCTGCACCGATGTGGGAGACCTGGAGGAAGCTCCTGGCTCCTGGCTTCGGATTGGTGCGACTCCAGATGTTGCGGCCATCTGGGGTGTTAACCAGCGGATGGAAGACCTCTCTCTCTGACTCTCTGTAACTCTGCCTTTCAAATAAATAAATAAATCTTTAAAACAACAACAACAACAAAAAATAGGGAGCTGGTACTTGAACTCAGGCACTAGGATTGGGATGCCGGCATCCAAAGCAGTGACTTGAGTGCTAAGCCAAACACCAGCCCACCCACAGGAGCGTTTCAAGTGAACCGGCTTAGGGTTGCCAGGTGAAATAAATGATACCCAGTACATTTACATTTCAGATAGATAACTGCAAATGCATTTTTAGTTTCAGTATATTCCATACAACGGTTGGGATACACTGGACACTGACAATTGATGCCTGGTTTATCTTAAATTCAAATTTAGCTGAGTTCAAATGTAATTTTACATTGAATTCTAAAGGCCTCCTGGCAGCTGGGCAAGTCCCCTCTCCTTTCTGAGTGGCCACACCCTCATCTGGAAATTGAGGCTAATTCTGCCAGAGACAGCAGGAGCCCGGGGGGCTGCAGGCAAGGGAAGAGGGGCTGGAGGCTGGGTGGGCGCAGGGAGAGCCTGCAGGCATTAGCAGATGGCGGGTGGTCATGCAGTGCGAGGAAGAGGAGGCACGGCCAGCACCTGGACCCACTCGTGGTCCAGCAGGCCACGGAGGCGGCAGTCCCGGGGAGGAGCTTTGGGGGGAGGGTAGTGAGGGAGTGTGGGAAGTTTGGCTCTGGGTCGCTTAAGGCTGAGGTTCTCCAGTGCTCTCCAGGTGTGGCTGTGCAGGTTGCGGCTGGGGACAGCGCTAGACTCATGCAACTGGCATGTCACTGGCAGAGAGCGGGAGGAGGCAGATCCCTGAGGCGGGGATGGCAGGGGCTGAGGTGTGAGCAGCATCCTCCCCTCCTGGCACCCCCGCCCTGTGCCCCAGTGTTAACTGCGGCATCTGGGAGGAGGCTGGGGCCTGGTCCCTGGCGGTACCACCCCAGGTCTGTCTTACTTCCGAGGCCTGGAATTCGACTTTATCTCCCAAAGGTCACCTTGTCCTCGGCCCAGCCCTGGGGGTGGGCATTCCTCACATTCCGTGGACCTCACTGGGAATGGCAGGCCCGGGTTCCAGCTGTTCAACTCCTGGCCATGCGTACTGAAGGCCTCCTGGGGGACCCTGGGGCCAGGCTGGATCTGATTGGCATGAGTTCAAATCCCAGCTCCGCTTCCTATCAGCTGGTGAGCCTTTCCCTGCTGGGCACAGGCATCCCCTCTCCTGCCTGAGCTACCAACTGGCTGTCGGGTGTGCACATCAAGTCTTTAAAGGCACCCGTGCTCGTGCTTGGCATTCAGTAGGTGCTCAAACATGCTAGCTCCTCCCTGTACCTTCTCTAACCTCTGTTTCCTATTTTTTCTGATTATTTATTTTTATTTATTATTTTTTTGACAGGCAGAGTGGACAGTGAGAGAGAGAGAGAGAGAGACAGAGAGAAAGGTCTTCCTTTTGCCGTTGGTTCACCCTCCAATGGCCGCCGCGGCCAGCGCGCTGCGGCTGGCACACCGCACTGATCTGATGGCAGCAGCCAGGTACTTATCCTGGTCTCCCATGGGGTGCAGGGCCCAAGGACTTGGGCCATCCTCTGCTGCACTCCCTGGCCACAGCAGAGAGCTGGCCTGGAAGAGGGGCAACCGGGACAGAATCCGGTGCCCCGACCAGGACTAGAACCCGGTGTGCCGGCACCGCAAGGTGGAGGATTAGCCTAGTGAGCCGTGGCGCCGGCCTTATTTTTACTTATTTTAAAGGCAGAGAAAGAAGAAAGGAGCTAGAGAGAGAGAGAGAGAGAGAGAGAGAGAGAGAGAAATATCTTCCATCTACTGGTTCACTCCCTCAAAGGCCTGCAACAGCCGGTACTGGGCTAGGAGCTAGGAACTCCATCTGGGTCTCAGGTAAGTGGCAGGGAGCCAAGTACTTGAGCCACCATCTGCTGCCTCCCAGGGTGCCCAGTAGCAGGAAGCTGGAATTGGAAGCATACTTGGGACTTGAATCCAGGCACTGGCACGTGAGATGTGGTGTTCCAAGAGGCATCTTAACTGCAGCACCAAACACCTATCAGTTTCTTCATTTTAAAAAGGAAACAAGGGGCCAGCGCAGTGGCACAGTTGAATCCTCCTTCTGTGGCACCAGAATCCCATATGGGAGCTCGGCTGCTTCTCTTCCGATCCTGCTCTTTGCTTGTGGCCTGGGAAAGCAGTAGACAATGGCCCAAGCACTCACTTGGGCCCTTGCACCCGTGTGGGAGACCCGGAAGAAGTTCCTGGCTCCTGGCTTGGAATCGCCCTGCTCTGGCCATTGCGGCCATTTGGGGAATAAACCAGTGGATAGAAGACCTTTCTCTCTGTCTCTCCCTCTCACTATCTATAATTCTACCTCTCAAATAAACAAATTTTTTTTAAAAAAAAGTAACCGGTCCCCAAACCCCTGGAGAATCTGCTACTAGATGCAAACTAGAGAACTAACCCCAGGTGTGCGAAGTAGTATAAGCAACGAAAACTCTATAAATTATTTAAAATAAAAGGGGAGGGGATAATGGGAGTTTGTGCTGTAGCTCATAGGGTTAAAGTCGCGGTCTTCGGTGCCAGCATCTCTATGCCCGCTAGTTTGAGTCATGGTTGCTCCACTTCCAACCCAGCTCCCCGCTAGAGTGCCTGGGAAAGCAGGAGATGGCCCAAGTCCTTGTGCCCCTGCACCCAAGTGGGAGATCCGGAAGAAGCTCCTGGCTCCTGGCTTTGGCCTGGCTCAGCCCCAGCCGCTGGGGAATGAAGCAGCATTTGGAAGTTCTCTCTCTGTCTCTCCCCCTCTGCCCCTCTCTTTATCTGTAACTCTGTCCTTCAAATAAATATATTAATTAGAAAAAAAAAGAATCATAACACTGCTCTGACAAATGGGGGAGGTGGCTGGCCTCCGTGGGGCCAGCCAAGGCTGGCTGGAGCCAGAGACGAAGTTGGAGGTGACCTCAGCCGGTCAGACAGAGGGACACTGTGGCTTGCAGCCCGATGATGTGGCCGCTGGGAATCCGTGAGCTACCCTGAGGGCCTCGGTGGGGAGGGTACCCAGGAAGAGCAGCAGGTGCCGTGTTCTGAGCCCTGTTGCGGGTTTCCCCCATGCCTGGCCTACTGTGGCCCCAGTGAGCTGTGTGAGGGGCCAGGGGGCTGTAGCTTCCTGGGAGCCAAGCTCACCATTCCAGGTCATGTTCCAGGTACCGGGGATCTGGAATTCCCTGCCCCAGGCCCTGAGCCACTCCTAGGCCCTGGGACTCTTCCCAAGGGGCTGTGCCACAGGTGTGTGCCTGAACAGGAACAGATGTGGCCAGGATCCGGACACAGGGCCAGGGTCCACACGTGTCTACACAGAACCCTGGATGTGAAGGTTGAAGTCACTGGGGAGAGGGGAAGCTGGTGGGAGGGCTGCCTTGGTGACCCTTGCCCGGGCTGCCATGCCAGGGCGCGCCTGTATCAGGTGGGCAGCCGCAGCCTTTGAGCCAGTGGAGGGCCAGTCTCACTCCTGGGTTCCCGGGCCCACTCGGGAAATCCATATTCCTCTTTCTCTTCCTGGGGCAGGATCTTGGACCTTGCATTGTACTTGTGCCGGAGGCCAGGCTGGGAGCTCAGGGTCCAGCAGCCAGGTTAGTTCTCATAGTAGCCCTGCCCAGGGAGCCCCACCCCCCCGGGGGGGGCGGGGATACCAGGACCTCCTGGGTCCTTGCAGCTGGTAAGCGTCTGGGCTCAGACAGCTGAGCTGCAGCAAACCCTCCTTTCCTCATCCCTCTGCCTTTCCTCACCCCCAAGCAACCCTCTCCAGCCCCAAGAAGCTCAGGAAGAGGTAACAGCCCATGTGTATGCTGGCTCCGGATTCCTGGGTCCCTTCAGGACAGACTGGGCCCTCAGGTTGCGACTGCATCAGGAGGGGCCAGCACTGTTCTCCGTGGAGGTGGCAGGTGACCCGGCCAGGGCCTGCACACCCTGCTGCCCCTGGAGGGTCTTTTCCCCACCCAGCCTCAATATCTCCCACGCAGATCTCCAAAACCCAGGCCTCCCGGCTCCACAATGAAGTGTCCCGGGACTGGATGGCTCCCCCCCCCCCCCATCATCCTGCTGCCCAGCCCAGTCTTCTACCCCCGCCTCTGCCCACACCAAGCACCTGAGCCCCATGGGCCACCCCACTTGCAGCCCCTCTGTCTTGGTGCTGCCTTGTCTCCTGTAGGATCCTGTCTCCACTTTCCCTTGTCCCCCCCCCCCCCGCCATTCCCCATGGGGTACCCAGCATGCTCTCTGGAAAAACAAGGGGCCGCATGTCACCTGCGTGTAAAACCCTTCAATCCCTCTTGTCCCAGTGCCCTCCACAAAAAGCCAAGCCCCTCTACACGCCAGCAACACCGCCAGGCTCTGCCGCGCTCCCTGGCCACCTCCCCCTTTCCCTCTCTCTGCCTCCGCAGATGCTGTTCCTTTTCTTCTTGGCTTCTAACGGCTAGGTTCCAACCAGCATCCCCTCCTCCAAGAAGCCCCCTGTGCTGCCTCCAGGCTGGGTAGGACCCTCCCACTCCTGCCTCTAGGGGCAGACCGGCAGCCTGCGGTTATAATAATGGCAGATATTTATGGAGTGCAAACTCGGCAGTTTGTAAGACCATCTCCATTTTTTTAGATACCTAACAGGTTAAGCCAAATGCCTAGGGTCACACTTGTGGGGATGCTGCTTCCTGGCCACAGTGGGTGGACACTGAGCCGGGCTTACTCTGTCTCCACCGCTAGAATGCCAGGTCCCAGAAGACCGAGTGGCTTCTGAGCCATCTCGACGGCTACGGGAGGAGCTCGACGCCCGGCGCGGCTTCCCTGATTCTGGCCGCCACGGGGCTGTGAGGGCCCCCGGCGAGCCCGGCTTCGGGTGGTCCATGTGTGTCGAGCTTTGCACCAGAGTGTCTCCACGAGGTATGCTTTGTAGACAATATGGGCATGGCCGGTCCTAAGCCATGCCAATGGCGATGGGGGCCGGCGTCACAAGTCCCAGCGGGCGGGGGAGCAGGTGGCGGGACGGTGCGCAGGCTGGGGGAGGGGCCGGAAGGGGCCCTCGGGGTCGGCCTGCCTTGCGCCCCGGCTCCTCCTCCTCCTCCTCCCCCGCTGTTCCCTGTGCGACCCCGGCTGCGGCTGCGCTGCCGAGCTGGAATTGGGGCCAGGGCACCCGGGCTCCTGTCGGGGTTTGGGCTCTGACCCCCGGGGCTTCTTGGGAAATTCACCACCTCCAATTGCCCCTTCCTGCCTCAGTTTCCTCTGCTGTGAACTTGGCCCCAGAGATTTCCACGGATACTTAAGCCCACGCTACTGTTGTGGCTCTGGGATAGGGCCGGGAGGATGCAGGTGGAGCCCCGGATCGGGGACCGTGGGCTCGGGGTCCGTCGGCTGGGTTTGTTGGTGGAGTCTCCAAAGTGAAGAGGGAAAACCGCAGCCCATAGAGGTAGAGGGACCTGGTCAGGGTCACACCCCGGGAGTGGGAGCCCAGCGTGCCACCTTTCACCTCCTGCCAGCCACTTGGGGGCCAAAACCCAGCTTGAGAATCAGGGGAGGAGGCGGGTTGCTGGGAGAAGAAAACAGCCCTGTCTTCAGAGCTACCTAGAGCTGGGCCCCAGGCAGGAGCCTTTGAGCAAGGACCCTGGTGGCTGCCGGGCCTCTACCCACACCCTCCAGGGCCCCCACGGGAAGGCAAGCAGCTCTGTGCCCCTGCTGGAGCCTCGGCCCACCCCAGCAAGCCCAGGGCGGGCATCGCAGCCTGGCGGTCTTGCCTGGAGCTGGGCCTCCTCTGGCCCCAGCCCCCATTCTCAGGGGAGGCCGGCTTTGCTCAGGAATAAAGCCCCTTTCTCCTGCTTGCTCCTACAGGACCCATGCCTGAGCGCTCAGCCTCAGCCGTGGAGTGGGGAGGGGAGGTTGGTTCTGAGCGGGCTGGGCTGGCCTCCCTGCGGCTGGCTCCAGTCGCTGGGGACAGGCCCTGCTGTGGTTCCTGGCTCATGCTGGTGGGGAGGTGGCTCTGGCTGGGGGTGGAGGTAGAGGGGAGCAGGCAGAGGCAGGGGCTGTGCCTTTAAGGTACAGCTTGTGCTGCAGCTCCACACACACACACACACACACACACCCCACAGTCTCTCTCCTGCACAATCACGCAGTCACACACACACACACACTCCCAGGCTCTGTGCTCTCTCCCTCCCTCCCTCTCTCCCCTTCTCTCTCCACAGGCAACACACACACACACACACACACTCTCCCAGGCTCAGACGTGAGCATCCACACTCTCCCTCCTCCTCTCTCCCCAAGGTCTAGTTTTGAAAAACATGGGCGAGGGGAGGGGTAAGGGCAAGGAGCTCTGACCTAGAAAATGGGCCCTGCCTCCTCTGTCCCTCCAGGCCCAGGAAAGGGGCCTTGTTTTTCAATTTGGCATTGGTGCCCTGGGGTCAGAGCTGCAGGGGGAGATGGAGGACCTTGGAGGGGGAGTGAAGGGGCTGCTTGGCCAACGGCCCAGCCTGTTGGACATAAAGCCAGGAATCGGGGAGGGGCCTCCCCGGCTCACACAAGGTGGGGCTCCCTCCTAGCACAAAGGAAGCGGGTTTGGGGATGGAGAAGGAGTCGAAGGAGCCTAGCGGCTTAGCCACACCGGATGAACCGGCTGACCTTTTGATTGATGGTGAAGGGGCCCTTGACTCTTCTTCGAAGGTCACTTTACACCTTTGGTCAACTTCTTCCCAGAGCTCTGGAGGGCCCTGCTTTGTTCTCCAGAGTTCTTGCTGCCTTCTGTCTGTGTGCAGGGAAGAGAGCGAGGGAGGGGAAGAGAACAGAGCCTCCGGCTGCACGCAGAGGCTGGGAGAGCTCTCCCCACAGGACCCCCAGGCCCTTGTTCAGCTTCCTCATGGCAATCCAGTGGGGAACTCCTATTTACTCGTCAAAGCCTAACTCCAAAGCACCTGCGCAAGAACGGTCCCCTCCCTGCCTCCCTGCCCTGGTTCGAGTGAGTTCCTGTTTCTGTACTTTGAACTCGTGCATAACTTAACGAGTGAGTGTGGCACTGCCCTGTGGCTGCTGCTTTTCGCACAGTATCTGCTTTATCCCTCACCCCCGGTCGGCCTCCAGTCTGCCTCCGTGGTGGAGGTTAGCATCGCCATTTACTGCCTGGGATGCTTGGCTCAGGAATCAGCCAGATACTCATGTGGTTCGAATCCACATCCACCTGGTGTTAGGTCTCAGCCTGTCTTTTGTCTCTTAGGGATCTTTTCTCTTTTTAAAAGATTTATTTATTTATTTGAAAGGTGGGGAGAAAGAGGGGGGGAGAGAGAGAGAGAGAGAATCTTCCACCCTGTGGTTCACTCCTCAAAAGACCGCAACAGACGGGGCTGGGCCAGGCTGAAATCAGAAATCAGGAACTCCATCTGGGTCTCCCACGGCGGTAGCAGAGGCTCCAGGCCTGGAGCATCCACTGCGGCCTCCCAGGTACGTCTGCAGAGATCTGGATTGGAAGTGTGGGGTGGCTGGGACAGCCAGGCACTGCAGTGAGCGATCGGGGCGTCCTGAGGAGCAGTTCACCCCGCTGCACCACAGCACCCACCCCCGAAGCTTTTCAGGGGCACATTCGCCTACAGGAGACTCAGCGGAGGAAGCGGGCCCTCATGCAAGCTGGATATCAGAGCGGACATCACCCCCATGTGTGCCAACTTGCACCCTCTGCAACTCAGCCAGGCTGCATAGAGCACTCCCTGGTGCCAGGCCTCGTGCCCCTGTCTCTCCATCTGGGGGAAGATAGGCACACCGTCAGCCAGGGACGGCTCAGGGTCCCTGGGAACCCACAGAGAGTCAGCCAGATAGATGGGGCCCGTGACAGACAGCTTGGGGAAGATGGCAAAGAACCCTGGCCATCACCCAAGCAGCTCCACCTTTTCCCCAGGGTGAGGGGGGTCCTCACTGGTCTTTGGTGTCATCAGCGCCACTCCCTAATGCCTGGAAGGCCATTCTGCTCAGCGGCCTCCGGACAGCTGTTGTCAACTCTGGGCTCCCGGAAGTCTCAAGAGTTCCGTCCCTAAAGGCCCCCCAGAATCAGATGAGCTTGACCATGTCCTAGGCCCCCCCACCCCAGCTTGGGTTCCTTCCTCACCTCTGCTTCACAGCAGGTGTGGCCGTTGCAGCTGGCATTGAAATTTGCGAAGGAAAATTCCTTGGTGAACAGTTGGTTTCATCATTAAATGCCCTGTGAAATGCCTATATTCTTGCTGTTTTAAAAGACACCCTAGGTGGGGTTTTGATGCAGTGGTTATGACGCTGCTTAGGGGGGCCGGTGCTGTGGCGTAGCAGGTAAAGCCAGCGCCTGCAGCACCGGCATTCCGATCCAGCTCTCTGCTATGGTCTGGGGAAGCAGTGGAAGATAGCCCAAGTCCTTGGGCCGCCCCTGCATCCATGCGGGAGACCCAGAAGAAGCTCCTGGCTCTTGGCTTTGGACGGTTGCGGCCAATTGAGGAATGAACCAGCAGATGGAAGACTCTCTCTCAGCCTCTCTTTCTCTGTGTAACTCTTTCAAATAAAAAAAAAATCTTTTTTAAGAAAAAAAAAAAAAAGATGCTGCTTGGGATGCCTGCATCCTGTACTGCAGTGCTTGGGTTGAGTCCTGGTTCTACCTCCAGTTCCAACCTCCTGCTAATGTGTACCCTGAGAGGTAGCAAGTGATGGCTCCAGTACTTTGGTTTTTGCCACTTGTGTTGGACAACCAGATTGAAAGCCAGGCTCCTGGCTTCTGGCTGGCCCGGGTTCTGTGGAAGTGGGCATTTAGGGAGTGAACCAGCACATGGGAGATCTGTCTCTGTCTCTCTACCTTTCAACAATCGAAAATTGAAAAGATAGAGAAAGTCTGAGTCTCTGGTCGGAATCCTAGGAAAGTGACGGATGTGGGATGTGAGGAGTCAGAGGTGCTGTTGCGTGGTGCTTGCCCGAAGTCTGGTCCTGGTACCACCTTCGATGTTGCTGCCCTGTCCGCTGTCTCTTCTACCTGGAGCTTTTCTTTAACTCAGTTTTGCAGAACTTTATTTAACAAGGAAGCCGTGTCAGTGCTCTAAATGGGAAGCTGGTATGGATTTCTAGAAACAAGGTAAATATAAATGCAGGGAAAATGAACCAGTTCTAGAGGCCGTCCTGTTTGTTATGCAGAGCCACAAGTGCTAAAGACGGTGCTCAGCCCAAGCTGAACCTTTCTCCGTCTTTCACTTAACCAGAATTACTTTGATGCAGATGGGGTTGAGGTTAAGATTTATTTCTTTATTTGAAAGACACAGCGACAGAGACAGAGAAAGGAGAGAGAGACATCGTCCACGCACTGATTCACTCCAAATGACTGTAACAGTTGAGGCGGGGCCAGGCCGAAGTCAGGAAACAGGAACTCCATCAAGGTCTCCCACATGGGTGCAGGGCCCAAGCAGTTGAGCCGTCTCGTGCTGCCTTCCCAGGCGCATTAGCAGGGAGCTGAATCAGGGGCGGAGCAGGCAGGACTCAAACTGGTGCTCTGATACAGGATGCCAGTGTCACAAGCAGCAACTTGACCTGCTGCCTGCAACACTGGCCCTGAGGTTCCATTTCTGTATGGCCAGGTCTGTGGACTCCTTGATCTCATCTCCCATCCTGCTGGATATATCTGTCCCACACATCGGGAGACTGCCTCCATCCCAGCCCTTTTGTCCAGGACAAGACACACTCAAGGTCATTTACCAACCCAGGCATCCAGGATTTCTGACCAGAGGTGGGGCCAGTTGAGAAGCTGGGCCCAGTGGGTAGCCAAGCCACCTGGCAAAGGAAAGCAGGACTGAGCTGTGGGTCCCAGGAGAGAGTGCTCCTCCCCACCTCCCCGCAGCTTGGGGGCAGAGATGGGGCTCCCTTGTGCAAG